TTATACAGTTTTGTCATCTGCCGAGAGAAAAAAACGAAAGCGAACGGGCTGTCGCCGTGCCAACTCCACCCCTTCTCCCCCACCCCTCCGACACGCCTATTGACTGTTCAGCACGGCATTTATTGGTGGAAAATGCGGCCGTCGCTGCGTTGCACGGCCCCCTGACACGCCCATCAGTGTGCCGTGTTACGGAGTGTGTGTATGGATATTTGAAAGAGGTTTCAGTCATTATTTTAACCCTCATTCATAGCAAGGAAAAAAATTCTGAAATCAAAATCTCTGCCTCATAAAAACTGAAGCAGTGCTGAAGCTATCCTTACGGGAGCCCCGCCTGGAACTTTAACCAGGGCAGTGTCCAGAATTTCAGATCCGCGTCGGTCAAAGTCCAAGGCGGGGCTCCCGTGAGGGTGGCTACTCCATAATAGCGGTGCCATGGTCAAGATCGCTTAGTGAGGTGTCAAGCACAGAAATAATTGAATAAAGAAATAATTTTGCAAGAATTTCAATATTCCTCTTTGGATTTTGAGAGGCTTCTGCGACTAATTTTTATACGTTTTCTCATGTTTTTCGGATTTAAAAACTAGAGCCTCCAATATGATTATTTACTGAATTTTTTATGCATAAATGGGAGAGTTAAGGTAGGTCCCCCCAGTGAACAGCACAGATAGAGTGCTTTGTAACGCTCAGCGCCAACGTGAGAAATTGGAATTACGTGGCGCTGATTGGATTAGTGGTAACGGAAGATTCGTATCCATCAGCAAAGGGAAGAGAACTCACATGGAGTCTTCAGGGTCAGCTCAGCTTCGGCTCCCATCGAATAACCCTGCTCTCGACTAATCGAACAAAGTGACTCGGTCGTTCGTTCCGTTTTGAATGAGTACTCTTGAGGCCTGAAATACTCTGACTGAGTGGCTTTACTGGTAATTATGCGTTGCTATTAGGAGTTAATGAGCCTAACGATGGCTTCTCAGCCCTGCGACTAACCTGTTAGTGTTGTTTGTGTAGATGGATTTGAACAGAGTGTATGGTTTGGCTCCAACTGGCATGAACTCCGTATATTGAGGATCTTCATTGATCCACATGAGATTCTTCCGATTCTGAAAATAAAAATCGACTAAATCCGTAGTACAGCACCTGGGACCACCTAGGGTTCACCACCTGTGAGGATTCTATAGTGCGAAGGGGGGGGGACTAGTTATACATAGTTGAGATTTTTCTGTTCCATTTCCAAAGCAATTCCGTGAAGCTCTCAGAACCTAAGGACAGGGCACACCATCGCGCTGAGGAACCTTTTAGGGGAATAGCGACCCCCCCTTTCATTTCCTCCATTGGTACGACCCTCTTTCACACATGGCAAGTGCGGCCGTTGAGAAAATTCCCGTAGAACACGACTGACCCCTCCCTTCCCCTTCCTCTATCTTGGTCAGCTTCTCACCGCACTACTAGGGTTTCCTTCTAAAAAATTCTCTATTTCTC